GGCGGCATTAAAGCCAGACATTTAAAAAACTGGTCAAAACAGAGTCCTTTAGTGATTCTTTTCAAGGAAACAAAACAAAACCTTACGACTGTAATTTATAAGATGAGTCAACACAGTATGTCCTTGATGGAAAGGCTGCCGGATGAACCCACCAGGTGTGGGACTTGGACGAAGTCCTCTCCCAGAGAAGGACCCTCGTGGGGTCGTGGTTGATTGAGGCAGCTCTGGTCTCAGGAGCGATACTTTAGTTTTAGACACAAAGATGTTTCAAAACCCTTCATTTTTAATTTCGTGAGAAAAGGGAAAGATGGAACTCTAACGATTTAACTTTTGAAAGCCGAAGGAAATCTGTTTCTTGACCAAGTGGTTCTCATTTTCAAGGGACTTAATACGTTAAGTAAATGAAAACGAACAGTGCTGGCTGACGAGGGAGGGAAGAAAACAAGATAATGTTTCTCCCCCAAGGGTTTATTCGATTTTACTTACATAAACAATTTTAAAGTAAACCAGCTCGAGCTCTCCCCGGCAGACGGAACGATGTTCCATAAGCCACCCGGGCTCCGCCCCACTTCTACGCTTCACTTCCCCATCAGACGCAACTCTGGACAAACAAACAGAACACCAGAAAACAGAACGCAACACAAAACCCTTCTGAGCCAGATTCTGGAAAGGCTTTGGCAGGGAGACGACCCTCCCCTCACGACAGCTCTGCTCGAAGAAGGCAGCACAGCATCCCCGCCGGGGCCTCGGCACCGCGTGAGGTTTGAGCCCCTGTAATGTTGGACTGGGCTCCAAGTCAGCCTGGGCTTTAAATTCACTCTCAGCCTTGGGGCATCCAGAGCCGGTCCTGGGCCGCTCTCCTCCCTGTCTCTGTTCATCGCCTGGGGGGTGATGCCCCACATCACGGCTTCAAGTACCACCGATGCACTGAGCATTCCCAAACTCACATCCGCACTGAGACCTTTCTCCTGACAAACTTCCGAACACCTCCACTGCAGGTCTGCCCACCTTAGGTGCTTAATGAACCTTGGACTTACCGTGTCTGGATTTCACCCTCTGACGTGTCCCCTAGACCTGCTCACCCACGGCCCCTCCGTCTCACGAGGGGCCTCGCTCCGAGCCACCTTCCTTGTCTACCCATCAGCCCATCCTGTTGGCCCTGCCTTCAGAATACGCCCAGGTGTGACTGACTCCCACCTCCGATGCTGAGTCCCATTACCTTTTGCCAGGGCAGTAACAACAGCTTCCAAAGGTGAGGGGGCGGAGAAACAAGCCGTCTGAAAAGGCACCTTCGAAATTCCCATTGGTTTAATTTGCTTTTAAGCCTTGATAATTTATTTGAAATGCCCAATAACATGAAATGAGGTAGAAAATCTTTTCTTTTTTCTTTTTTCTTTTTGACTTCTCAACTGTACTTTCAAGACGAGGATGGGCTACCATCTTTCTAATGTCTAAGAGACTCTAAGAGTTCCCGTATGTCATATCAAGTATTTCACTCACAGCAGGCTTTGCTATGCCTCCTCCTTCACATAAATATTTTTTCCTGGCACATTCTTTGTTATATACTTAAAAAAAGGTAAATAAAGCATAACCCCAAAGTATGGGTTTTTTTGTTTGTTTGTTTGCAAGGCTCTGAACCTGGATTCCTTGGATCTACCCCAGAAGACAGTGAAGAAAGGGTAGATTGTAACCGTGTCACTTTCCAGCCCTGGGAGAACCCGACACAGAAGACTCATCTTGGGGGTTCATCTGATCTCCCTTACTGCTTAAAAATCTCCCTTTCATCCGCCTTTGTTCTTTTATGACTCTTCATATTATTAGTGATTTACAGGGCACTCACCATATACTGGCCACCGGGCTAGGCAATTCACTCACTCAAGGAATACTGAGTTTACCAAGTGCCAGGAGGTGGCCGAATAACAAGCCCCGATGTAGCCCACTGCTCTAATGAGTACATTCAAATGATCATGTAAATAGGTAAGACACATGCTGTGTAGGCGGTGATAAGGGTCATGGAGAAGAATCAGGTAGGGAGATGCTGGGGGCCAGGGCCTCACTCCTGGGGCAGGAGATCAAGGGAGGGTCTGGAACAAAATCTCAGGGGAGGACGAGACAGCCCTTGGGAACATTTCTTTAACCCTCACGGTAGCCAGGCCAGACGTCATCATGTTACAGCGTCTCATGAAAGACAAAGGCTGCAAGATCAGGAACTGGAGAGTCCTGATTGCGACCAAGGTCTGTACGACTCCAAATCCCTCGCTCTTAATTAAACTCCACCTGCACTGCCGTCAGATTTATCACAAGTGAAGACTGAACTCTACAGGGCAAGCATGTCCATCGGCCTATAGAAAGAGAGATACTGCAGAGCCAAAAACTATTGTATTTATATAGGAAGGTCACACACTTTAACAGCCCTCTGTTAGACATGGAAGGAGATGGGATGGATGCAGAGCGGTAACTTGATCTCCTGAACCTGACAGTCAATAATATTGGTTGTTCTAAAGCTGATACTTTGAAGACAGGACATGGCCTCAGTTCCAGGCATCAAATTGATTTTGGGGAGATTTTAATTTAGCCCAAACCCCAAAACCGTGGAAGGCATCCCAGCTGCTACTTTCACACATGCAAATGAACATGACACAGTAGCTGGAACTAAAATTAAAGCCACCTAAAACACAGCCCACTGCGGGATGAATATTCAAACATCTGTTTGGACAAACTCGTATTTCAAAAACTAAAAAAAAAAAAAAAAATATATATATATATAGTTTTGAGGCCACTTAAGGGACTTGCAGTGGAGACAGAACCCCGGCCCACACACTGATGAGCCATCAGAAAGGACACCCTTTTCTCTCAGCTCTGAAGGAAGGTCACAGTAGGAAAACAGCTCTTAAACCAGTGAGGTGAAACCCGCACCATCTCGTGGAGATGTAATTCAAAGCGGTCAATTCCAGTTGCCAGGCACGATTTTTGAGCTAGATTCTGCTAGAACCTGAACCCGCTCCTGAGTTTAGGCCAAGCCCCTCTGAAAAGCCGCGCTGGCCCTTTGCGGCCTTCAGCCATTGCATAACTTGCCACTAGGCAAGTTACGGACATCGCTCTCTGTGCAGCAAGGACAACCTTCGTGTCCCGTCCATGAGCTGTGGGGAGCGGCTGGCATAGGCTGGCTGCGGTGGGCCCACGAGCCTGGGGATGAGGGTGGTGGGTACGCGTGCGTCTCGGACACTCCCTTGACGTGCAGGCGGGCACCGCCCTGCGGCCGTGCACCCAGTTTCAGGACTCTCCTGGAGCCCGCGCGGTCCCTGGACCCCTGCTCAGCAACCCCTATCCCAGATGGGTGTTTACCAGTTACCCGGGCTGACTTGAAGCAGCAGCCTGGCACAGGGGCAGAGTAAAGCTGCCTTAAATATAAATTAATGGGTTACAGGGAATATTAAGCAAAGACAATCTTCTGGGCTGGATTCAGAAAGATGATGAGATTCTTAGTATCATGTGCAATAATATGTTTATATATCAATCATATGTTTCACATATTATATCACTCACACACACACACACACACACACACACACACACACACACACACACACACATCCTGAGTCTGAAAGAACTGTAATTCCACACACCTGTGAGCTGTCCTGGGAACACAGAGCTGACTACAACCCCCCAAAAAGCTTGGTAAGAGCAGGGAGAGAGCGCCTGTGTGGTTAGGTGGTGCTTACACGGTTACAAAGTTCTCCTGAAAGCACAAGAGGAAAATCCTCTCCAGGTGTGCTATTTAACTTAGAAAACAAAGCCAAGCGTCAACACGTGTTCACGGGGAGCTTGGTCGCTCTTGTCTCTCTTCAGCTCACCTGCCCCTCATTCCCGGGAACTCACACCCAGAGAAGTGGGACCCGGCTGGCCCTCTGGGGGACCAGGGCTGCCTGTCACAGCCCAGTTGCTGGCCTCCTGCCCAGGACTCACCTGGACTCCCGTCACCCGGGTGCCCTGAACGCGCTGGACTGGAGCAGACTGTCCAAGGGCAGTGCTGCCCCCTCACCTCCTGCCACCCAGTCACCTCCCCATCCGCCAGAGCAGGGGAGGCTTCTCTGGCTGGAATCCTGGGACCCAGCGTCTGCTGGGTCTGAGTTGCAGTGAATGTGGCATCCACGTACCTTTACGTGATGGATGAAGGGCTCTACAAGTAGCCAGGTGAGCAGGAAGGCCTAGCGGCACCCAGGGCAACAGCTGCCCTCCAAATACGGCTCCTTATTTTTTAATACAACAAGACTAACCGTCTAAGGACCCCACTGTGAACAGCCTCCCAATCAAAGATCGTTACCAGCAAGGTTCAGAGGTACAGAGTGGCAGTGAGGGTCATGCTATCACTTTCCTAGTCAGCGGTGGCAAATGCACATTTGAGCGTCTGGAGGCCCGAGAACCCCCAGGTCCCCGAGGAATCTAGGGAAGGACGTAGAGCAGAGCCTCCCACCAGCCCCAGCACTCGAAGTGGGGAGATGGCACCGGGGCCCCGCCTCCGAGTTCTGCTTAGTTTAACGTCGACCCTGCGGGGCTGTTTCTTCCCCCTTTCTGGTCTCTAGAACATTCCCAACGAAAGCTTCCCAGTAAGCAAGACTTTAGAACTTCCTCCCATTGAGCTTGCGAACGATGGAAAACTATTTTGTGAATGGATTTTAAAAACAACGAGGGACCAGTACAGATGAGGGCAGTCACACCACTTTCCTCGGTGACTCTCACGCTCTGACCAGCAGCCTGCGGCCTCTGGACACGCCGGGGGCGTCGCGAGGACTGGAACCTGGCCCCAAGCAGCCCTTTCACATCCTGCGGGTGAAGTTCCATTAGCACGTGCCTCGGAATTTTCCTAGTTTTCCGGCCCCGTAAAGACACGGCACACGCTGTTTTGCAGAGCAACGGAGAAAAGGAGCATCCCGGGGGAAGCTACTCACTGTGAGGTAGGAAGCGGCCAGGGTGGCGCCCGGCCGCGGGCTGACACTTACTGCTCATGCCTGGTGTCGGGGACGGCTCTGTCCATCTGCAGCTTATCGCTCTCCACTTGGTTGAACTTGTTGCGGGCGTAGGGGTCCTGCCCGGAGCGGACCATCGTCCCGCCAACGTAAGCCTCCTGGTTAAAGTCCCGCCATCGCACTTTCCCTGCAAGGAGCAGAGCACAGGGTGTGGGACGAGGGCATGAGGGAGCAGAGCGCTCGGCCCCAAGGCCACGCGTCAGTGCGACTTCAAGGAACAGCGCCAGGGCTGCCGCTGCTGGCAGTTCTAACCAGCAAACCACCTGAGAGCAGGCAGCATCGTGCCTGTAAACTGGCAACCCGAACCGTTACAGTTTGCAGCGTGAAAGTTAAAACCAAGACTTCGAGTATTTGTCCCGTGAACAGAATTCTGTGCCAGTCAAAGTATCCCGGAGAACGGCACCATTGACACTCCGTACAAAAGGAGATACCCTCTGCTTGTCCCATGTTTCCAGGGATTACAGTAATGCCAAAAAGCACCTCAGACACGGTGACAAAGATCCGGAACAAATAAAAGTAAGGCACCCCATCGTGTGACATCAGGCGGCACAAAATAAGTGTTTACACAAAAATAACACCGCAAAGAACAGGACACCAAAACAACCCCGGAGAGACCTCCTCAGATGCTTCCTGCAGCCACTGCCACATCGACCCCATGACATGGTACGTGAAGCCTTTTCTGGCACACTCACACTCTGGCACACTGACGTCCTAGGACACACACGCCCTAGCAGCCTCACATCTTAGCACATTCACACCCTGGCACACTCACGTCCTGGCACACACCCCCTACACGGTCACATCCTTGTACACTCATGTCCTGGGACACACGTGCCCTGGAATGCTGACACCCTGGCACATTCACCCTGATCACATTCACACCCTGGCACACATATCCGGCATGGTCACATCCTTGCACACTCAATGTCCTAGGACACACACGGCCTGGAATGCTCACACCCTGGCACGCTCACCCTGATCACATTCATGTTCTCAGCAGGAGGGGATGGACACCGAGGTAGTCTGGCATGTCCACACATACGTTACCTTGACTCCACTGCCTGGATTAGCTGTCGCGGCTCCAGGGCCCAGCACAGGGCTCTCCAAGAACACGCACTGGCCTGGAAGTTTGTGCCAGGGTTGGGTAGGGGCAGTGCTGGTGTAGCCTGGGATCTGGAGGGAAGGGCACCGCTGGGTGGGGCGAGCCTGGACAAGTCCGGGCACGAGAAAGCAGAGAGACGAGCAAAGGGACCGACACTCAGAGGGAGAACAGTGGGAGGAAAGAGCGACTCGAGACCAAACAGAGCTGGGACTTGACTGTCCACCTGCCCCGCCCCGGGTTGAAATCTCTGTTTACCACTTGCTACCTCTATGATCTTGGGCAAGTTATTCATTCTTTGAAACTAAGTTTCCTAAAAATAAATAAGTACATAAAATGAAAAAAGATTTTTCATGAGGATTTAATATGCCAATTCAGTAGATGTGCAAACTCAAACCAAATTAAAAAATAAAAACAAAAAAGGGAAAGAAAAACAGTAACAACAACCCCTGTCCCCTTGAAGTGGTAACGCTCTAGTGGTCACAGTGCCGTGACGAAACAGAGAAACAGGAGGCCAAGGGGCGGGCAGCTGGGGGCTGCTGTTCTGCAAGGGCTGGTCTGACTGAGAGATGCCCCCACGAGGGAGGGTGGCCCTGTAGCCCTGCGGAAGAGCATGGGAGCCGCAGCACCAAGGCCCTGGGGTGAGGCAGGGCCCCTTCTGCAGCGCGTCAAATGCTGGGCGTTTGGTTAAGATCAACAGTGAGTTATGACGCTAGCGTGTGTACCTACATGCGTGCTTGCCCAACAAAGGCCCCTCTGCACACCATCAAAAGAATGCCATGTTCCTTTCTCTATTTCAGAGATGAGGAAACTGAGATCCAGTCACCTGTGATTTGTTCCCGGTCGTAAGGAAACTTTCTATCTCAAAGCCCATCCGCTTTCTTGTTACAACTGTCCTGCGAGGTCAAAACCGCCATCTCATCACAGCTGGTTGCCATGGAAATGGTGCTTGGGGTCACAGAGGTCCAGCCTCTCAAATAGGAAAGCAATTCCAAAACCCACAAGCTCCCAGGCTATGGGGTGATCCCGTGCCCCTGATAAATGTCTGGATACGGGAGCTGGCCGGCATGCCCGCATTCTCTTCCATCTGAGATGAAATGTTTCCAGCACATGTTTTCCACGCCGACAGCCCTAGAGATACCTATGGATCATCCACTCTCCCCACCTCTCTGCCTTCACCCTGTGCTCAGCACACCAGCCCCTCCTCCTCACGGCATGACCTCACCCCTCATAGGCTACGCGAAGCAGGAGCCTCGCCCAAAATCTACCCCAGCTGCGCCGACCACAGAATCCAAATGAGCTGACTTCCACTGATTTGTTTAATGGCCTGAAAACTCTTCACTGCCACAAAGAACTTGGAACTACGTCACCCATCCAAGGCCAGAGGAAGGACCATCACCCAAGAGATGCTCGTCTCTAGTTCTGCTTCTTGCATGGAGAACTGGGGTCAGCCGG